GACCCATACTCCACAGGCCACCTCGGGGGACACAGTCTAATGCTTTCTCCAAATCCACAAAACACATGTGGACTAGTTGGGCAAACTCCCATGAACCCTCCAGCACCCTGTAGAGGGTATAGAGCTGGTCCAGTGATCCACGGTTCGGACGAAAACCGCACTGTTCCTCCTGAATCCGAGGGCCCAGTCTCGGCTGTATTCTCCTCTCCAGGACCCTGACTTATATAGACTTTCCCAGGGAGGCTGAGAAGTGTGATCCCCCTATAGTTGAAACAACACCCTCCGGTCCCCCTTGGTTTGAATTCTGACCTCTATGTATATATATTTAAAATAGATTATAGTGGTTTGATTTTTGACCTATATAATCTATTAAAAACCTTTATTTATATGGTTTTAATTCAGATGCAAGTGTGACGATGTTATTTCAGATCCTCCTCTGAGCAGCTGCAGTTTCAGTTCAGTCACTGTGACTCTGACTGATGGAGGTTTTTGTACGACTCTTTATCACTGTGTGAACACACGATCACCCACACATTTATTACCAGAAACTGTTTTGCAGTGATAACTCAGACAGTAATAATGTCCAGCATCTTCAGTCTGGACTCCACTGATGCTCAGAGTGAAATCAGTCTTAGATCCACTGCCACTGAATCTAGATGGAGTTCCTGACTGGAGTTTTTTTACATAACGAATCAGGAGTTTAGGAGCTTCTCCAGGTTTCTGTGAGTACCAGTATAAACCTTCATCCCCATCATCCCATCTCCTCACATCTGTGCTGGTTGTACATTTGATATTGACAGTTCCTCCTGGTTGTTCTGCTGTTATTGAGGGACTCTGAGTGACGGTGATCTGTCCTCTACACTCTGAAACACACAACAAGAAAATACACTCAAAACTTTGACAATATACTTGAAGAAATGAATGAATATCAAACTTGTGCTCCACAAACCTTGAGCAAACGCTGTGAGAGTCCAGATGAAGATGATGATGAAGGTCATGTTGATGAAGATTGTTGTGTGTGTCAGTGATGAAGTGTTAAACTCACAGCACTATAAACACTCTCACACACTGAAGATCTGATCAATATGCAAACACACTCCACATCATTTCCCTGAAGACAGCAGAAACACTGTTTTGTCTTTTAGTGTCTTTGCTAATAAACTTCTGTTTATCATTTTCATAAACACACACTCATGATTTACTTCATGTTATTTTGGGTTGATCTTCTCGCTCTAAACACAGTTTTGATGATCAGTTTCATTCAGACTTTGATGCTGAGAGCATTTAATACCTGTGCTGTGTTTATATCATCCATGATACTGTAGAACAGGTCAAAGGTCATCCAATAGAGAATGACCATCTAAATCTGGCGGAAGGTTTCATAATAAAGCAGGACAATAGAAGTGATATAAATGTGACGAATGTATTTTGGGAGTGAGTTGAGTCTGATATCAGTGTGTGTGTGTTGTTGGTCTCTTTCTCTACGGGTGTGTGCTTATTTGAGTGTGACGGAGGTTTTTGTACGACGCTTTCACTAGAATGAAACACTGTGGTACACTTTCGGTGGAGGAACTGAACTGACGATCAGAACCTGTAAGTCTTTCTTAAATTATATAATGAAACTTAATGATGTGTTTTTAAAAGGAGGTTTAATGTTATTTAACAGCATTCGGCAACAATATTCTTAATTTATTACAAAATATATTATTGAAATGTTTTTCTTATTTATTGTCACATTGTATTATATTTTACTGATTACACACATTTATGCATTTGTAAATTTAACACTATTTTACTGTAATATGCCATGAAATTTCCAGTTAAATCTATTACAACTTTAATGCACACAGTAAAGGAACAAACATTTCACAAACATTCAATTAAGAATTTTTTCTGTAGCATTTTTTGTCTTTCATTTTTAAAATTACAATAATTTTTTACGGTGTACATTCAGTACTAGTCAATATTGATTTAATGGAGAATTTTAAATGTCCTGTAAAAAAAATTAAAATTATATATTTTTCAAATATCTAGTATATTTTTTAATTTATTTAAATGTATATATAATTCAATATAAATGTTTTAAAATATCCTTTTTCATTTTACACAAATAATTGAACATCTTGTTATTGAAAAAATTTAATTAATTTCATGTATTGACTTTATTACAGTACTTTAAAATCATATCTTAACTTCATATATAATTTTGTCAATAATTCTTGGTAAATGTAACTATTGATGGCATTTTTAAATGCTTGGAACAAAAGTTGTTTTAATTTCATATTGTTCTAAAATGTAATATGTTGATCGCAATATCAATGTAATATTACATTGAATGTAGTTTGTAATATTGTTATATTTTCTATCATATTCAGGTTTTTTAAAAAGTACATAATTGTGTCCATAATTCTTGATAAATTTAAGTGCTAATACTTTTTAAAATCCCTGACACAAAAGTTTGATTATACGGATAAAATAATTCTATTTTTAGTCATTGCCATCAGACAAATAGAAATATTTGAAAAATTCATCATTTGAACTGAAATTTTCTGATCATTATGATTGTGAGAGTCTGAATATTTCAAAATACAATTAAAAATGAAATGATTATTCAGAAAATATCAAATTATTATAAGATTCGCTGTATATCATGTCTGCTTTACAGAACTGATTTATATTTAGAATTACATGATACATTTTTGAGTATTAGTGAATATTGATTAAACTGAGAATATTTTTAAACTGAATTAAGGATATTTGTGGTTTATGAATGAAAGTGTGGAATTTCTGAAATTATTGTGATTTCTACTACATGAGCGAGTCTGACATCTAACCGTGTGTGTTTCAGCCGGGCCCTCCGTGTCTCCCTCCGTGTCTCTGCTGGTCTCTGGAGACTCCTCCGCTCTGCTCTGCCTGCTCAGCTCTTACTCTCCAAAGGGGGCGACAGTGAGCTGGACGCTGGACGGGTCAGAGGTCACCGAGGGGGTTCAGACCAGCGCAGAGAGTGAGCGGGACGGTCTCTACAGTCTCAGCAGCGTCTTGAGCCTCAGCAAAGCACGCTGGGAAGGCGCAGGGACAGGGCGCTTGGTCTGCAGAGGAACACATGCCGGAGCTGCTCACGAGGCCTTGTTCCTCAAGAGCTCCGACTGCTGATGTTTCTCCAGTGAAGACCAGCAGATCTGAGCCAAGTCACGTGATTTACAGCTCAATACTGAAGCAGTCTGTCAATGTGCTGCCATTGCTGTTCATTCAATAAAGCTTCATCTGAACGCCTTACATGTGTGTGTGACTGCATCATTGATCAGTGTGTCGTCGCACTAAAGTTTCAGCCGCTTTTGATTGATTGTAATAGTTGAGAACAGCTGCATTCAGCAGGAAATGAAGTCAAATGAAGCTCTTGGGGTTTGAACATGGTCACTGGAGACGAGCTGCTCTATTCTGAGACGTCACAATCACTAAACCTGACAATGCAAATCACATTTTCAACTGAAACTCACAGTTTCTCTCTTTTACTGGTTCAACGCTCTGAACTGGAACAGTTTCACTTCTGCTGATGGATTCATTAGTTCGTTTGTTAATAAGATTTCATCTTTATGAGTTACATGTTGCAGGGTTGCCAACTCTCACGCATCTGGCGTGACACTCACGCATTCAGCCTCAATCTCACGGTCTCACGCTCAACATAGAAATCTCACGCTAAATTAGACATTCTTCTGGGCTGTATTTTTTTGTATTACTATAAGCAAGTTCAGGCTCTTAACTACTGATTGGACGCAGAGAAAAATCGCGGAAAAAGATGACACTGACACCGACAGACTACAGAGAAGTTTACTCCTGATATGGAGCGTTTTGGCGCTTTTAAATGTGACAGAACGCAGTAGCGCGTCAGTTCAAACGGCACGTGATACAGTTGCCTAGGCTACAACACCCACAGGGCACGAGCAAAATACTGTACAGTATCTGGTAATCTCCCGCTTTATATTAACAAACTGTCAACACGGGCTTTTGCGATGCACAGAGAGACGCTGCGCTGCCTATGACTTTGAACGTGAGTTGAGAGCGTACATTTGCACTACGTGCCTGTCTTTTGAGCAAAAAAGATATCTTTCACTAAGTATCTACAGTGGCGTAGGGCGAGGGCGTGAGGTGCTGATAGCAAACTTTGACGTGTTCGACCCGAGTTCGAATCCGGCTTTTGCCTTTTACTCTCTCTTCTCATCTGGTGTTTTCTCCAAAATAAAAGCTCAAGGGTTTATTTCTTGCAAGTCAAGAAATTAGGACAAAACTATTGTAATTTTCCTATACAATAGTGTAAGTAAAATATACTTTTGAAATATTCATTTTCATTTATACAGCAGCCTACATTTATAGACTATGCCAATATTGATTTTACGTAATAGGAATAATTATATAAATCATTATTACATTATTATAATAATCGTTTGGCATCCTAAAAGAGACTGAGACTTTATATCATAAAGTCTTTATATCATAGACTTTATATCATAACTAAAAAGATGTTTGATCCCTCTTTATGTCCAGGTACAAGTCGAGGCTTTTGCTTTGTTAAATGTCACATTTCATGATTTGAAGCCGGTTAAAACTCTTAATTTTGAGCTCTCAAAGTGCACCAGATTGATGCATTTAACCTTAAAATGTACAAAATTTTCTTCCGGGGGAGCATGCCCCCGAACCCCCCTAGAAGGACAGAGGTCTCAATATAGTTTTACTAAATCATGGGAAAGAACAATAATTTATATTACCCCAAAAAATTATTTCTGAAAACTGTCATATACTGACAAAGCTCAAACTTTTATATTAGTATTATAATATAATTGCTTATAAGATCATTTTGCTTTTTTTAGTGTGTGTGTGTTTGAGCAGCTGCAATTTCAGTTCAGTCACTGTGACTCTGACTGATCGAGGTTTTTGTACGACTCTTTATCACTGTGTGAACACATTTACACTGATGATGTGGTGGTCACTCATACAGTAATAATGTCCAGCATCTTCAGTCTGGACTCCACTGATGCTCAGAGTGAAATCACTGTTAGATCCACTGCCACTGAATCTAGATGGAGTTCCTGACTCGAGGGTTTTTACACGATAAATCAGGAGTTTAGGAGCTTCTCCAGGTTTCTGTAAGTACCAGTATAAACCTTCACCCCCAGATCTATATCTGAGCACAGCTCTGCTGGTTTTACATTTGATATTGACAGTTCCTCCTGGTTGTTCTGCTGTTATTGAGGGACTCTGAGTGACGGTGATCTGTCCTCTACACTCTGAAACACACAACAAGAAAATACACTCAAAACTTTGACAATATACTCGAAGAAATGAATTAATATCAAACTTGTGCTCCACAAACCTTGAGCAAACGCTGTGAGAGTCCAGATGAAGATGATGATGAAGGTCATGTTGATGAAGATTGTTGTGTGTGTCAGTGATGAAGTGTTAAACTCACAGCACTATAAACACTCTCACACACTGAAGATCGGATCAATATGCAAATGCACACATCCTTTATTTAAATGATGCTGTTAATGAAAGTTCAGGAGGAGCTCGTTCAACATCAAATATATCATGTAATCATCATGATTCGCCAATAATCAGTTTTTTTTTCATTAATGATGTTCTATCCTCACTTCATCACTATACCATATTATAATATATATTTTATTGTTAATTTATACTTGAATAGACTAGAGTTTGCTTCAGAACTGATTAATTTTGCAACATTAAAAGTTTAACTAACTCACGTCAACACTGAATTAATTTGAGCTGAATAATGACAGCTGAAACTGGATTAGTTGAATTATTTTGCAACTTTAAAGTCGACATGAAATGGAAGTTGCTAGTCTCTTCTTCCCTATTGTGACGTATAATCAAAAAAATACATAGATATAGAAAAATGATTCACTCCTATATAGACCCTTTTCACATATCCAGGTTTCTCAGAAGCAGAAGTCGTCAGATGGGTGTAATTCTATAGTGGTGAATGAGAGTATACATTAAAAGTTCCCATTTGCTCAAATAGAAAAAGAATAACCCAACAACAGTGTTTTCACAACTATCAAAACCAATAGAGATTGTTAATTGGCAGTCAGAAGAGAGAACGAAGACACTTTTAATCACTCACAGCCATTATAGAAACACACTCGGCAGTAATTTGATGCAAAACAATACTACGTTAAGTGTTATAAATGTACATAAAAAAATTAAATATAAAAACTTGGCAAGATTTACGATACGATGACCATTAAAATACGTCATCAAAGTCTGTGTAAAGGGTCTCGTTTGCCCAAAATATAACCGGAGGAGTTGCAAATATAACGAGTGAACAGGCTTTCCTTGGTATAATCGAGTGAAACTGTTTCTGGAACAAGAACAAATGTAGGGTGGGGCTTGATTGATTGTTTGCTATTGGTGGATCTCATGTGAGTGACAGGTTGCCCCTACTCATTTTCCTGAAGGACATCCTGGGATTTTTTTATGACCACAGAGAGTCAGGATCTCAGTTTAACATCTTATCTGATGGACGGTGCTTTTTGACAGTATAGTGTCCCTGTCATTGTACTGGGGTGTTATAGTGAGCGCCCCCTGCTGGCCTCACTAACACCTCTTCCAGCTCTTGTCCAGGACCTGACCAGGCTCAATCCTGCTGAGCTTAAGTGGACAACCAGTCTTGGGCTACAAGGGGGATAACAGGCTGATGACTTTAAAAACAACTGAATCTGGGAGTTTTAGAAAACTAAAGCTTGCAATTGGCAGGCAAGACAGAAGCACTTTTAATGTTTAAAATTATGCATCACATTATTTGGAAAGTGTAATTGTTACACATTACACATTTTATAACTTCATCAAGATTCTTAAATTGCTGAAAAGAGCCTGTTTGAGGATTGGTGAAAATATTTTAATATGTCAGACCGGGTCTCATATTACAGGAAGTTGAATGGAAATGCAAACGAGTTGCACTAAAATAAGCTCTATGAAATGGCATTATGATAAGATGTTATGATAAGAGCTTCTGTTTACTCCACTGGATAGGGATTCAGATAAATACTGAAGATTTAGTGGATCTGGACCAAATGTGAACGTTTATGAATCTACTCTACACTTTCGCACTGTACTCCCTCTTTTAATGCACTTTAGACATTGCACACACACACACACACAAAAATAATAATAATAATAATAATAAAAAAAAAATAGTTAGGAGAAGATAGGGATTGAAGAGATGTGGGGGAAGGTTATCATATATTATCTTATTATCATCTTATTATATCATTTTTTTTTTATACAGGGTTGACAATGGCAATTGGTACATAGGAGAAAGGATAAAAATCGACTAATACAATATTGGCAATATGGTGGTAGTGGGGAGTGGGGGTGGTGATGGTAATGACAATGGTAATAAATAATAAATGGTTACTTTATTTATGTATACACACACATTAGTGTTGGGCGATATGCTCCATTTTCATATCGTCCTATCGTCAGCCTGTGAGATCGGCGATACACGATATTATCGTGAGGGGGCGGGGCTAACTTATTTGATTATTAACATGATTATTTAGCCTACTCATTAATTTGCTTGTTTTATTAGCCTACTTCGTTTTATATACGAGAATCTTTTTTCTATTTTGCTAGCAAAGGTGGAGTGTTTATTAATAGGATCAGGTTATTTCCTGGTATAGTGAAGTAAAAAAAAGAGATCCTAATCCTTTTGTTTGTCAACGGGAAATTTACGGACACATTAGCCTATTCTCATGCCATTACATGCAGCATTTTGGTCTATTTCTGCACGAGATGAAAACACGTTTTAATAATTTCTTGGGTCAGAAAGAGTCGGAGTTTGCGAGATGTGCCCCCCTGTGCGTTCTCTGCGCACTTCACATGCGCACTTCAGTAAGCACGAAGTACGCGGTTATGTGTTTTAAATGCCAAAGGAAACAAGAGCAAGGGCCAAACGTCTAGCTGAGTCGATCGGTTTATACTTATACTTATGACTTGACTCTGATAAAGGAAACGTTTACATGACCACATGCATTGTCAAGTTTATTCAACATAATCAGGTTAAGAACGTCGTCGCATGTAAACGCGCTCAATCTCTGAAAGTGAAAGTAAAAACGGACTGCTTTCGGCATCTGCATTAACGCCGCGTTCCCTCAGAGACGACGATGATAACGGTAACTATAATACTATTTTAGTGATATTATTATTAATACTATTTAGTAATTGTATTGTTTTTAGTGTTAGTGTCATTAAACGTTTTGTTAATGTGTTACAGTAACAAATACTGATGAACAACGATGCCGTTTTCATCTTGGATCTGTAGGAAATTTAATTTTGCGTCTGTTAAAACGAGCACACTTGATAATTTGTGAATGGATCACCTTGCGATTGAATTTTGATGTGGGATGTTTTTTAGTCTGTTTTAAAAACATTCTCTTAGAGGAGTCCTCATTAGTGCGTGTGTTGTTGCAATTGTTATGAGGTGATGTCGTTGTAAATTTAGGCAAGGCAAATTAATTGTAGTTCCTAATATTCATTTAATAACAATACTAGCTTCATAATAATAATAATAGGCATAATAATAATAATTTAATACATTATGGTAAAACGAGCCAATTATCGTATTGATATCGTCAAAGGCATCTGCCATCGGCGATATGTCAGACTATCGTCGATACACGATACTATCGTCTATCGGCACAACCCTAACACACATACCAACTCACATACACACTTAGATCAAACACTTAAATCACTCTTATGTCACTTCTGGAATTACATGCTCACTACTGCACTATGTTGGTTTGTAATATGCATGTCTGACTGTCTAATAATAATAATAATAAAAAAGAATCTAGTCTGCGCAATTGCAATTTAAAAGAGAAAGCCTTGTTGTTTTGAATTTTAATACAAGTTGAATTAGCAGTTAGAAAGTAAGCAGCTGGTGCAAGTCACCTTTAGTTCAGAATTCGTTTTGGTTGAAGAAAATAGTGTCAGAATAAGGTCAAACTGGTTCGTAATAAGTGAAGCTGGTAATTCTGAGTTGTTTAATCCTCCTCTGCTGAGATTACAAGAGATTATGTATTTTATCTTGAGTTGATTTATTCTAAGGTGGCTGGAAGTATGTTGTAGTTCTTGTGTTTCTGCTCATCACATTTTCGTCTTTCATTCAGTGATTCTGTTTGTTAACAGCAGGTGTTCATCAGTAATGCTTAATTATCCCTCTGGACTTGATTGGTCTTGGAGTTCTGGTCCTAAAAACACCTCTGACACGTACACATGTTTCATGAGTCCAGTAATTTGCAAATGCAGAATCAATGGAAATGTTGAGGTTGCGTATGCAAAGTCATAGTGTGAGTAGGTTATTGTTAGAGTTCAGACTGTAGAGCTCAGAATAAGATCAGGACGATCAGTGGACAGGAGAGTTTTGCAGAGTGAGTGAGTCAATGAAATATCTTATTCTGAAGCGTCTATTTGGTATTTAAGTTGTTAATTGATGATGCTGTTTTCATTACTCCAAAAAGGTGTTGAACATTTCCCATCCTGACCTGAGATTGACAACCAACGAATCATCAAGAAGCAGATGTGAGATGAAGACACTGTGGCTGCCACTTCTCCTGAGTAAGTCTGTAAACTCACTGAAGTTTTTACTTACTTAACCCTATATTTGCTGAGAGGACACACACACATATAATACTGCAGGTCAAAAGTTTGGATAATTCAGATAAAATAAGGGCTTTTATTTGATCGAAATACAGTAAAAACTGTTAACATTTCACCATTTTAATATCTTTTCAAATGTAATTTATTCCTGTGATCAAAGCTGAATTTTCAGCATCAAATTACTCCAGTCTTCAGTGTCACATGATCCTTCAGAAATCACTCTAATATAATGATTTTATTCTGATTATGATCAATGTTGAAAACAGTTGTGCTGCTTCATATTTTTGAATGTAGCCGCACAAGTCGTCTTTCAAAAACATTAAAAAAAAGGTTAATTATTCCAAATTTTTGACCACTTATTTAACACTTTTTTTGCTGGAATATTAAATATCAAAAGGACACCTTGCATGTCTCTTAAGACTTTTGCAAGGTTCAATGTACATTTATTAATTTACTATCATGTTGGACAGTTGTGCAACAGTTCCTCTCATGATCAGCTTTCATAGTTTGCATTTACAGCTTCCTGGAAAAACTCCCTGGCTTGCGTAAAGTTTGCATAACCATGCCTAAATGATGAGCAATATTCCTTATATTTGCATCGTTTTCACAGTAACATTCATAAATGGTGAACCATTAACAGTTCTATAAGCTTCAAATGTGCTTTGTTGCAAAGTTTGATGCCTGTGCAGTGAGACAACATTAACTTTTATTGAAGATTTGATCTATGAAGTATTTCTAGATATGTTACCTGGATAGTCACTCTTAGAAGAAATGGTTCTATTTAGAACCAGAAATGGTTCCATCCCCCGCTTCTTATATGGAACTCCAAAATGGTTCTATATAGAACTATTTTTTTTTGGTAAAAGGTTGTATTGGCCATGTATGAAATATATAGAACCCGGAGGAACCCTTTTTTTAAGAGTGTATAGAACCTTTAAGGGATTCCAAATACGTAGCGCTGATAGAACCTTTTAAGGTTCTATATAAAACCTTTTCTTCTAAGAGTGTAAGACAAACTTGCTTAACCCTCTGGTGCTGTTCAGTCACTTTTGACAGAAAAAAAAAAAATTACATTTTGATTTTGTAAAAAATGTTATGTCATCAAAATGGTATGATACTTGGTGACTTTTGTGGCACTTGCTCTGTGAACACAATTGTGGACATGATTCGAAAAGGTTAAACGGTCTTAAAAAAATTATTCACACTTGTACTCCTTTAATGGTCACAAATAGGCGCCATAGAAATAAATGGGAAATACAAAAATACAGTAATTTTTAGAGGGGTGCACCGTGCATTCAACAAATCAGCTGCAATGCAGGGAAAAAAGTGCACATTAATGAAGGGGTTAATTGGAAAAAATATTAGACAAAATGTATGGGATAATTAATTGTATTAAAAAAATTGTGAAAACAAATGTATCATAATTATTTCATTGAAATTACTTGGTATCATTTTTGTGGATTCGTGTAAATAGGGATCGTTTTGACAATGTTGTCGTCTATACGTGAAAAACTTTCCTGTTATCGCTATCATATAAACATATCCTAAATTTAGTAGATTAGTTCATAATTTAGTGTGTTACCATCAGGTGGAAACACTGTCCACAATTGAACCAACCAAAGATTTTAGTATAGCCAACAATGACACTAACATTTTTATAGCTTTCCTTTACATGTTAAGTGTTACCGATCAAAATATGGTATGGTTACATCCATGAAATTTCAATAATGGTTGTTTTTATATTAAAGCAAATTATTACATGCAGCAGATTACATAAAAAAATTACATATAGTTAAAAAGTTACATTTGAGGTGTTCAGACACTTTTGACTGGAAGGAGTTTGAGTGTGATCCCAAACTGAGGAGCACCAGAGGGTTCAGAGAAGTGTATGCAAATGTTACGACAGCTTGTTTATCAATTGTTCATATTCAGGCTCAATCATATGGGCAGAGGAAGATTATTTTTTTATCTCCCCCGACGCCGCATGGAATGGCACCGGACTCAATCAGTCCAATGGCACATTGAATGACACCGGACTCAATCGGTATAATACCACATGGGATGAGGCCAGGAACCACTGTCAAGCCTGTTACAAAGAGCTGGCGACCATCAACAGTAAAAATATCCACCTCATCGTGCAGAACCTCTCTTTGGACTACTGGACTGGGCTCCGCAGGAGCTACAATGGCACCATCCCATGGTCCAGATGGTCCAATGGGGATCCTGTTACATATCAGAATTGGTACCCTGGTCATCCTCTACCAAATAAAGTAAAGAAAATGATTCCTATATGTTCCTCAACTACACAAAGTCCACTGAGCACCCTAATAACTACTATGGCTACTCCAGTGACGAATGCCTCAACCGAAATCCCAACACAAACCACAACACAAACCTCAACAGTAAGTTCTCCGGTAACCTTTCCACAGTTTTCCACATTATCTGAAACTAACAACACAGATGTGTGTCCTATACTGTATAACGTCCTGGAATGCTTAAATATGACATATGAAGAGCTTGAACGTACAGTGCATGAGTACTCATCGGTCACCCCTAAGACCACAACATATAGCACCACCACCAATCCCACAACATTTAGCACCATCTTTACAACAACTGGTTATGAGACACAGAACACCACGATGAATAGCACCACCACCACAGAGAGCACCACCGCCAGCAACTGCATCTTCGAACCAGAGCCAGATACTGAAGTGTACATCGAGGACGCCTGTGTGGTCCTGCTCAGCTTTGGCATGTGGAAGGAAAAACATTGCAACGAAACTCTACCCTTCATCTGTTATGATAGTAAGGACTTTGTTTTGGCCCAGTTTACACCTGGTTTTAAGATGCGTTTTGGTCGATCGGATCTCAAGTAGACGAGGGAGGCCCATTCCTGTTTAAACTTGGTGTGCAAATCTCTCGCTTTTGTCCACTTTCAAGCACTTCTGTCCTGATTTCTTCGAGGGGAGGGTCCATCAGTGTGTAAATGTGTGTGGGCTTTTTCAAATATTTTGATCTAATGGACGAAATAAGCTCACACAATTTAAAACTGAATGTGCAGGAATGGTGAGATAACATTGTGTTTGGTACGTTTTTCCCCTTTTTACTAAACTTGGGCCAGTCGCTGAGAGTTTAAATCCCATCTGGCTAGCGAACTTCCCATAATGTTTACGCATTAGATCAGTAGACGGTCTTGGCTATTTTACACTATGAAAGCAATCCGGTTGAATGCATTTTACTCTATCTGGAAGTGGTTGAAAGTGGACAAGCTCATAACATTTTAGGCATAATTTACACCTGTATTAGTATGTGAATGTGAATGAATGAGGCTTTCATATGTACTACTGTACACCCACAATCAGGGGATATTTAGCGCCATCCACTTGTGATCAAATCGATCAAAATGAATCTTAATACCAGGTGTAAATAGGGCATAAGAGCACAGCATCATATTGTAAGATTTATATTGTTGACACTCTTACTCTCTTAAAACAAAGGTCCCGAAAGGGGGTTTTGATAGTGATGCCAAAGAACAGGGGTTCCAAAATTTTCCATTCCCGCCTAGACAAGTACATATCAAGACAAGACACACCAAAATATGACAGAAAATAATAATAATATTTTATAGCACAACTCTAAGATTTCAATACTAATCGATATGATCAATTCTTCATTTACAGACAAAACATGTACATAAAAATTGTAAACAGCGCAGTGATTGGAGTGACTGAGTTTCTTCTCATTAATAATGCGACATGACATCATGACTTTTGCATAAACATACACGCCACTTGTTATCTATACGCATTTTGAGCTATCCGCGTGTATGCGTGTTGGGGGTTGGGGTAGGTCATATATTTATATATACAGTAATGTAACGTTAAGTCAACGCCGGTGTTCATAAACACGCTGAAAACATGCCAAAAATGGAAATACAAATTGGCGTGTCATACATATGCCATTTCACGAGATCAGTTTGTTCTATGGCATCACGCCTCCTTTGGTAACCTTTTATTTTAAGAGTGCAGTCAACTTGTATGTTTCTGCTGATATGCATTGTCGCACTTATCTGTCCGTAGACCAATTTTATGGGCAAATAGAAGTTTCCGATGTGACCACAAGTGCAGGCAATGTGAGCTGGAGTACTCCACCGGGTAACATCACTCACTACAAAGTGGAAATCACTTGGAACCAGACCAAACAGACGTATAATGAGACTAACCAGTATAAACAACTACTGGATCTGACTCCAGGAAATCTCTACGAGGTTCAGGTGTTTCCAGTGAAGTGTGGCAGGGATCTCAAACCACAGAACATCTCCTTCTACACCAGTGAGTAGTAGGGGTGTAACGGTACATGTATTCGTATTGAACCGTTTCGGTTCGAAGCTTCCGGTTCGGTACGCATACAAACCGAACGATTGCTTGGACCATTTTTCCTGCCGGCAAAATTCGTGCTGACGCGGCCAACACAACGTTGCGCAACATCAAATGGCAAGCGTAATGAATGCAGAACGAAACTGCGCTATAAATGTGCTTCACGGATCGTTTATCAGTTCGGACCAGCAACATCTGTGCAGCGCGAGCCGATCTCGACCAAGCGACACTGTTACTACACAGCGCTAAGAGATCCGGTAAAGAAAACATTTGAATTCGCCACTCGGGTAATAACAACGCTGCGAGATCTAGTGAGAAGCATTCACATTTCTCCGTTATTAACCGTAGATCTCTATTAGATCAAACAGCGCTGTCATGGAAACCAGGAGAAACATTGTGCCGTGAATGAACTATACTTTACGTCCAACAGACCAGCAACATTCACCATGGATTTAATATAGTAACACTAACTGGAACCAGTTTGGCTGGAATGGTGAAATGCTTTCAAGTACTTCACACATCTTTTACCAGCACTTCAAAATTCAAATATTATAGCCTATAAATAAATATATATTTAAATGTTATTTTTAATGTGATGACCAAAACATTATTTGTTCACCCTTCAAAGATGACCCCCATTTATAAACCTGAAAGTTTCAAGATCTAGGAAAACTCACACTTATTTAAAAATATTTTTTCTTTAAACAAATAGGAAATTTCTCTGGCATTTCTTTCTTTTTGCTGTATCGAAAACATACCGAACCGTGACTTTAAAACCGAGGTACGTACCGAACCGTGATTTTTGTGTACCGTTACACCCCTAGTAAGTAGACTTGGACTTCAATGTGAACAAGCTTTCAAAGTACAGCACAAATATGTACAGTAATGTACAGTCAATCACCATGAGTTTATGTTGTGATAATCACCAGCTGACTGTACTTTATCTGGCTTATTACACGGCTACTCGCAATATAAATAATTGCATGGACAGAGTTTAAATAGTTTTATAATTATACCTGCAATCATCAAGAAAATAGTCCATTACAACATACAAAACAATCAAGTATTCATGGTATTTCCACCATAATAACTGCAAGATGGTTTGTTTGTAAAATTGACCAATCAGAACCAAGTACGAGAGCCGTATAATAAGATGCAAATTGTATGACTGTTGTAAGATCTGGTATGTTTGTCAGAATTGATTTTCTTTTTACTTATCCTAATTTAAAGTGCCCTTATTATGCTGTTTTACCTTCGTTTTGGAGCCTCTTATATTAGGTTTACATGCATGAAGTAGATGTTCGCGGCCAGCCAATGAAAACCATTATGCAAATTGATTCCAAACCTCATGCAGGAAGTAAGACTGGAATCACTAGACTCTTTTCAGACAGTTCAGAATTGCTTCTTTATTTTAAGAAACAATAATCTTTGAACCTTTCACAGGTGAAACTCAAACATTTGAATTTCGTGCAAAAATTCATTCATTTCGGTAATTCAACTTAAAATGTGAAACGAATATATCATATAGATTCATTCCATGCAAAGTTAGATATTTCAAGCCTTTATTTGTTATAATTTTGATGATTATGGATTACAGCTATGAAAACCTTTCCACAATATTCTAATTATACCATTATAGAATTTTTTTAATTATAACAAATAAAGGCTTGGAACATCTCACTTTGCATGTAATGAGTCTATATAATATATTAGTTTCACATTTTAAGTTGAATTACTGATATAAATTAACTTTTGCACCATATTCAATTTTTCGAGTTTCACCTGCACAAACAGCTGTATTACACATTACCTGAAAGGTAATATCCCGAAAAAAGCATAATGGGGCACTTTAACACATCTGAATGCCATTCTGTAGACCTATGCAGTGGCTTCGTCTTAATCATTTATCAAGTCAGTTTCAACATAATGAGCTGAATGCTGTTCCTCTTTCAGAGCCTTCTGATATTGAAAATCTGACAGTCGTGAGCATGACAACTGATACTGTGAGCCTCAGCTGGAGTAAATCAAAAGGAGACAGAGACGTCTATTCAGTACATATCAGAGGGATGAATTCAGAAAACGATCAAGCATGTGAAAGTGAAGAGTGCACTATCACGGGTCTAACTCCAGGAAACAATTATACATTCACAGTTACAGCTATCGTGAATAATACTACTAGAAGTGCGCCAGTGAACATTTCTGACGTTTACACCAGTAAGTGCAGAACGATTCATGCTTGACAGTTTCATGAATTAAGAACATCATTAACTATGTTTACAGTTGCAAATGTAACTTTATTATGCGCAGAATTAGAATGGTGCATAAAACTTTTGCGAATTTGGCCTTTTAGAACCATCAAACTTAGTCAAGTTAACCATTAATGCAATCACATTCTCTTTTGAGACAAAGTCATGAGTTGTTTGTTGTGCATTGCAGATTTATTCAATGTGTTTACATCTTTCTTCTGATTAGATATTAGCGCATAAGGTTTTAAACAGTTTTTTTTTTTTTAATATATGCAGAGTCATCTTGCCTGCATTTCCACAAAGCCTTTTTTATGTGATAACCTAAAATTATAATAAAATAGCTATTGTCAAAGTAACAAGCATTCCTGTGACCGGAGCTTTTCAAAAGCAGTGCAACTAACTGATGTGGATGTTTTTAATTTACTAACTGCCTTTTCTTTTGGTATTTATTTTTCAGGGCCTTCAGTTGTCTTAAACTTAAAGTCAGCAGACAAGGACAGCACAGTCATAACTGCCAGTTGGACCAAACCTATTGGTCATCATTCAGGTTACAAATATTATCTTTACAATAGCAGCGACTGTGCTACCAGCAATTGTTCAACAAACGGCACCATTACAACAGATACGTTCATAAAAGTGGAGAATAAAACAGACGGCACCAAGTATTGCCTGTGTGTGGCAGCACTGACAAACAATAACACCCTATCAGGAGAAATGGTTGTAATCCCAGCATACACAAGTGAGTCTCATGCTCAGTTATTACATCCAGGCATCTCATATCATGCATATCAATTACAACTGACACTAATGCTAAGCTCATTTGTTAAAGTTGAATGTGAGTTGACTGTCAAACAAGTGGAAACTATTTCCACTATCGAATAAAAATTAAAACAGGAATTACAATTTTAATCTCACAATTCAGAATTTGTTTCTTGCAATTTTTTAGTATATTTTGCACAATTCAGATGATTTATTGCAATTGCAGTTTGGACTTTTAATTTCACAATTCTGAGGGGAAAGAAAAATTTGATAAACTAACAATTTCAAAAGGTAGTTGCAACTTTTATTTCACAAATCTGACTTTATTTCTCACAACTGAAAGTTTATATCCTGCAATTCAGATTTTATAACTCAGCTGTTTTTACAGAATTGTGAGACAAAAAGTCACAATTACCTTTTTTAATTTTGAGTTTATATCTCGCAGTTCTGTTTTTATTTCTTGCAATTTTGAGTTTATATCTCAAACTCTTTTCTCAGAATTTATTCAGGAATATACAAAAATGTATATGAAATACACTTATTTTATGCCAAGTATACTGCAAATTTACATATGTATGTACTTCATTTAAATACCCTTCAAAACTAATTTTGTACTGAATGCACTTCAGTTTTACAGAATTTTTAATATTTGATTGTGCTAAAGTGGAACTATTGCAAAGTATACTTTAAATATCTTGCATTTAAACAATGACAACGGTCACACTGACTATAGTTACTAATATAGAGATATAAAAACAAATTTCATGCTTAATATTTATAAATGTGTGAAGTACTCCAAAACGTTTAATAATGATATTTATAGTCTCAAGCAATATGTTAAAGGATTTTTAGTACACTTAGAATTACGTAAATAAATTTATTTTAAATACATTTCGGTATAGGTTTTGATTGGAAGCAAAAAAAAAAAAAAAAAAAAAAAAAATTGGGTTATTATTCTTTGGCTAAAACATGCGTCCATAAACAGCCAAAGGAGTTTTTAGATGTGAAAAATATTGTGTTGTCCAAATGAATGCTTAGATTGGTTCAAGCCTGCATGACATTTCCTAAATTATGACTTTTCTTCTTTTTTTCATGCAGAACCAAAAACCGTAACACTCTCTTTGAAGTTCTACAGCAACTCCATTACAGCCACCTGGACAATAGATGGGAATTATGAAAAATTCAACTTGACAATACAAGGAGTAACTGACAATCTAATGGATACTAAAACTATTACAGACAAAACTTGCACTTTCAAAGACCTGAAGCCAGGAGTTCAGTACAAAGTTTCAGTTGTCACTATTAATGGTATTCTGGAAAGTGACCCTGCTGAAGAGTCAAATTACACTAGTAAGGAATTATTACGTTGCGATGATTTTTCAGACTATTTATCCAGCCCGATCTCACTAAAGTGCGTATCTATACAACGAATGTTATTTCTGGTGCCATTTCTGCGCAAAAACTTTTTTTTGCGTGTCTATGATACGCACTTTATGCCGTGTAATACGCACCCTCCCTAATCCAACCCAAGGGGCTTTCAGTGCGTAGCATATGCATGCAAAAAAACAAACATTTTTGGCGTATAAATGGCACGAGAAATAACATTCGTGGTATAGATACGCACTTTCATGAGACTGTGTTTATCCACTTGCTGCAAATTACTGTAGTCATCAGTTTTTCCTTTCAGCTGTATAACATCTCACAAATCAATTCACAGCACCTACTGAGCCCGAGTGGGTAAAGGCCACCTCTAACGGTACCACGATACAAGTGACCTGGGGACCTCCAAAAGATTCAGCAGGGGCCACAATTAACTATTCTGTGACCTGTGCCTCTGCTTTTTGGGGAGAAAATACGACTGCAATTGATACGACATCTACAAAGCACACCTTTCCTAATTTAAAATCAGGAACAAGATATACGTGTTATGTCCATGTAGTGGCGGGCAGTTTGACAAGTAAAACAGTCACTGCTCATGCAGACACAGGTAAAGAGAAGACATTCAGTTTTGTGCAATGATATTCTAACATGACGTGTTTATTTGAGCTGAGTGTATTTTTGCAGATTTCTCGATGTTTAAAACTATGTTTATTTCCAGAGCCTAAGAAGAAGACACTGACCCTCACAATGTTGTGTTCCTCTGCAACGCCACTTCATTGTGAAAATTCAACAACTCAGAATGAACTTTTCAGGAAGGTGAAGAGTTTCTCCATGACTGTCAAACTTGTTCTTTGACAAAGCAACTTTATAGTAACATTATTATCATGGAAGTAATGTAGGCTACACATAAAGAAATACCTGATCATCCCTGTGCAGCACTTATATTTAGATTAATATTGTGAAAATTAATTAATTTGCACTATTGATGACAAAAGCTTAAACCTATTATCTTGAAGTCTCAATTTAAATGAACTTAAATAACTAAAATCAACTAGAAAAATCAAGTGAAATCAACTAAAATGTCCTTTCTGTCTTTCAGCTGAATAATACATTTACAGCCAAATTTAATGACGATGTCCACTGGAAGCTGAAGTGGGTGGACAGGAATGTGATCAAATCCTTAAAGCAAAACTAGGTTTGTAAAAACAGCTGGATATCCAACCAGTCAAACCTGTTGTTGTTAAATGAGTATGATTTATATCTAACTCTGACTCTTATTTCACAGAAAACGATGTCCTTTGAATCTCTGTGACGTGGTAATGGCAACATGTTTTTACATTACATAACTTACATAGCAATTTTAACTGTTTATATGCTGTACAAGATTTGAAGTCATTTTAATATAATTAAAGTTGAAATGGCTTGTAAAGCCAATTTGATTATGCTTCAAAACTCAAGCCTGCAACTGAACGCAAGTTTTCCAGTTGACATGTTTCACAATAATTAGGAGGAATATTTTGTGTTTGAGTGTCCATTGCCAATATGATTTTCTTTCTCTTTTTGTGCATTAGCGGACTATAGCTTTTATTCAAAAAGAGGAACAAAAAGCAATTTGTCAAAGAGCCAACACTATTTGTAATATACAATGCCAGGTTTATTAGACGCAGATTTCTTTGTGGGGAAATGTTTTGGTCCTTAAGTTTAGAAATCATACTTTTTTTCTAATTTTATTTTCTATGTAAAAGTGCAGAAAGATTGTGTCAAGCGTTAGGGGATAGAATATGGGGTTTGTATGGTATAAAAAAAAAACATTATGTCTATGGAAATACCCCATCCAACATGAACCCAACGTTGTGTGTGTGTTGGTTTAAGGGTGTCTTTAGCTTCTTCAAAGATGATCTCTGGAGTTTGGGCCTATTTTTAGTTTATTTTTCTTATAGCAAATGCAGACATACGCTGTGAATAGTGTGGTGTGATGATATCTGATAGGTGAGGGAGCTATATCATTCTTGTAACATTAACAAATATTATTATCGAAGACATTTACTTGCTTCATGTGAATTAGTTTTAATATTCATGATGGATTATTGTAAACTATTTTTGATTTTTTGGGGATTGTTTTATTATAAATAAAGCTATTATTACACATGGGTTTATTCACTTTATTCTACTCTACAACCATAAGTTCTCAGTATAATTACTTTCTTTCAGACTTTTCTCTCTTCTCTCCAATCATAATCTAATAAAACACACTGCAAAAAGGGATTTTCTTACTCTGTGTTTGTCTTCTCCCAGTACAAACATTCTTAAAACAAGATACATTTAGTTACTTAAAAAGATATTAAGTTTTGTTTTTTACTGGGTGAAAAAAATCTGCCAGTTGGGTCAGAAAAAACCAATCCTGTTTTCCCTTTGAATTAAGTTAATTTTGATTACCATGGCGTATTTTTTTCTTAAGGATAGATCTTAAACATTTTATTGACCAATCCTTGCCATTGTGTAATAAAAGTCCTGTATGTTTTGGGCCATTTTAAACTGCTTTACAGAAGTAATTCAAAATTATAAAAACAACAAACAACAACAAAAAAACAAAACAAAAAACGCTTTTGAGCGATTCTATATCGTGAAGTAATGTCGATGCTGAATTCATTCCCAAACCAACGACCTAGAAATTTTACATCTTGATTTGTACATGTCTCATATCTGGTGCAACATGAGCTGCCATCATTTTAATAAAACTGTTACACTGAAAAGCAGAATGTCACCATCACAGATCTTGCTGTAATATCCAACACTTCCATCTTGTGGTCTATTGCTGTAATGCCACAAGTAAACATTGACAGAAGACATACTCATTTAACATAGTTACAGTACACATACATCCACATTGGTAATATACCACTATTCCACTGGTTTCACTCATCTCTTCAAATTCAGCACAATCTGAAGTACTTTGGTAATTTGCATTATTTAGATTTAATTAAAAATCCATTGCTGGATTCAGTTCATGTCATTAAAATGTCTCACTCTCGACAGGCAAGCAAATGTGAAATCCTGGTTTATTCCAGAGAAAGAACATCAGACCTTCTCCCAGACTTTCTGAACGGCATCATGTCGGATATGAGGTTTTCCTTTACATGTATTTTTTTGGGGGATTGTTTTATTATAAATAAAGCTATTATTACACATGGGTTTATTCACTTTATTCTACTCTACAACCATAAGTTCTCAGTATAATGACCTTCTTTCAGACTTTTCCCTCTTCTCTCCAATCATAATCTCCCTAATAAAACACACTGCAAAAAGGGATTTTCTTACTCTGTGTTTGTCTTTTCCCAGTACAAACATTCTTAAAACAAGATACATTTACTTAAGAAGAAAATATTAAGTTTTGTTTTTACTGGGTGAAAAAAAATCTGCCAGTTGGGTCAGAACAGTGTGTGATAGCTCAAAGTTAACCCAGTGTTATCATCAGAGTTACTGGCCGTTCAGACATCTGTCACCACTACTAATCCATAAAGCATTCAAAACGGGAGTGTGTGCTTATTACACTCCATAAAGTGCGCATGCACGCGAAAACTGCGTTTCATATCTACACGCAAAAAAAACTCGTATATGACACAATAATGTAGGAACTCGTGGGTAGGCCTACGGTTTATTAATCCGTGAGCATGATGAACAGTTTGAGAATTCGTGAGTAGCCTAAGGTTTATAAAATGAGTGAACGGATTGCAAAACTGTCGACAAAGATTGTCAACAGATTTCAAAAAATCAAACATATGTTGGACGTGATCTTACGTTCGCCATCGAGGCGGTAACGTTAGATATCAGCGTCTACCTCGTCTTACAGACAAACTTTGACTTTACAAAATTCGGAAAAACACATTACACAAAAACATAACCACTTAAATTGTATTAACTCACCTTTGACGAAGTGATCACTGCACACACGGGCATTTTCCCATTCGGCTCCTCCCGACCGCAGACGTAGGTTTGCAAGCCGTTTTTTCCAGTAGTTTTTCGGTCAATTTCTAGCATTTCCCCGCTTATGAACAACAACTTTTGGTAGACGATAAAAACTCCTCGTGGTTTGATCGATAAACGACGCCAAACATAGGCATTTTGAGTGTGTTATTAGTTCTTTCTAAATACAGCAAACTTCCTCCCCTCCATTTGTATTTCGCGCCATGGCAATGCAGTGGCGTGTGACGTCATATTTCGCGCTTCAGGGCAGTGACGAGTACGTATACATATCAAATAACCATATATGGTCATTATTATCATATTTAGTAATTGTTACATAATTATGTGTAATTACTATAATAGCTAGGCTATTATTAAAAAATTACTAGTAACCCGAACTTACCAGAGAAATTATACAGCCCAATGTGGAGTGAAGGTTTGAAAATCGTATAAAATCGTATCCTGCATTGTTGGTATTGGTGATGGTAATACTTCATTTAAATACATTAAATACAATTTTATTAAATTCTTTCAGTACTCCCCAAACTATTATTTTCATAGGTATAGAAAACTTTAGGGAATGTGAGCCATGAAAGTAATTTACATGTCAGAATATGCAGATTTCATGCATAAAGCCACATTGCAACAGCTTTGGAGATTGTAAACGTCCGGGAGACTTCATGTCGAAGAACAAACACAAGATTAGCAGAGGATGAAACATTCACATTCACAACTTATGGTCAATGAGCACTGAATGCTTGTGAAGAGAGAAAACAACAGCCAGACGTTGCTGAATCCGTTCTTTAATGGTCTCCGTCACACACACCGTGGACGAGGATACAGTAGATATTCACATACACACAACGAGCCACATCTTACATTGAAACGTTTCCAGTTGTAACATGGTTTTTCACAAGTTCAAGTTTGCAGTTGAAGTATCATTGAAGTTTTGTTCAGAAACAGGAGAGCTCAAGCATACAGTAATCACGTTTGACTCTAGTTCGTCCATGTTATATTATCTGGGATAAACCGTTCTGATGACCAAACGTTCCTCACACATCTGCTGACTGACATTAAACAGCGCTTTCATTCTCAGCATGGCTGAAGAAACACTGAGTTATGAGTCTCAGGGAATCAGTCTGATTATTAATAATAATAGAATAAGGAATCGTCTGGGTTCAATGCAAGTCTTTACACTTAAAGGAAGAGTTCAGGCCAAAATTAATATCCTGTCATTATTTTCTGATCCTCATATTTATGAATATTTCATGATGTTAGGCAAAATAAAGCAGTCAACAGAGCTTAACACTGATCCCAGATCATTCCATCGAGTCTCAGATGATGGAGAAAGCTCCTCTATCAAAATTAGTAAAACCAAGCCCCATTTTTATTGCAGCCTTAATATCTCACATCATTAAAAATCATCTCTGAGGTCTAAAGCCCATTTCTGCCATAATAATAATCATGCTTTGGTAAATCATAATAATAACGTAAGCATTTTATGAAGTAAAAATTAACAAAAAGTCATGATTATGACTGTATTGCATCATTTATTTTCTTAATTTTGACTTTTTGTGACTGTCATAATTTGCCAAAGCATGTTTTTTTTTTCTTATGTGGCAGAAATGGGCTTCCATACAGCGTATGCTATGTTCATTTCACGTCATAATTATATCATTATTATGAGATGACATCACTTAAGAGCTTTTTTTAACCTCCTCAGACTCAATTATTAATGGACTCAATTATTCACATCCATGGTGACATTCATAAAGCCAAAATGGATCCATGTGCTTGCATCATCATAACATTAATTTAGCCAAAATATGCATTTTTTATGCATTTATTTAGAAGAGTTCAGCAATTATGTAATGTAATCTGACTTCTCGTAAATTAAACTAAATACTGATCAAGTTTGTAATAATTCTCAATGACTCGCTCAACATGCTAATTTTGTTAATTTATGGCTCTTATTGATAATTAAGTAGTCAATTTGCTAGCTTTATTGACATGCTGCTTGAATGAAACAGGCCTGGGAGAGATTGATATTAAATATGTCCTTGAAGAAACACTTCCGTTCCAGTAGGTTTGTTTGGGTCGGGCCTCTATTTACTGTCTCACAATAAACACACTTCCAGATTCGATATGAAACATTCAGGAATAAAAAATAAATAGCATCCATAAACTACAGAGTGTTTCCAGTGACGGACAGCAGGAATACAGCAGATGCACAGTGACGGACACAGTCCACGCACGTCTTCAGCGCATGCATCAAAGCATCACAGAAAATAACATTACAACTTCTGGAGGTTCATCATCATTTCCTACTCTTCATAACAGCTTCATCAGCATCTCCAGCCACACACACACACACACACACTGCAAAGGTTCAGTAGTGAGTAAACTAGAGATGCATTATTGACAATGACCAGTACAGACATCATGTCTCTAGTCTAGACTGAAAGATCTCGAGCACCTTTAGCATGTCTGAAAGATATTTTGGTTTATATATTTTAGGCTTAAAATTGACTATGCATTAACTAGCCCTCATAAAAGTGATTTGGTGTCAAATTACACCGAAAATAAGCAGTCAGATGATAGATACAGGTTTGTGTATTTCCTATTCAGTCTTACACCTTATAACTGCATATATTTGAGTCTAAACAGTTCATGATAATATTAATTTATTACATATTAATATTCTAAACCTTACTGGTCAAAAGTTTAGAGTGATTTCTGAAAGATCATGTGACTGAAGACTTGCTGGAAACTCAGCTTTGATCAAAGAAATAAATTACATTTTACTATAAATTAAAGTGGAATATGGTTATTCTAAATTGTAATATTTTTTGATTTTACTGTATTTTTGATCAAATAAATGCAGCCTTGGTGAGAAGAAGAGCGTCATTTCGTCATTTTTCAAACTTCTGTCTGATAGTTTTTAACATTATTATTATTATTATTATACATTATTATTTCAGTGTTTGATTTGATTTTAGTTTATTTTGCGGGTCATAAAATGTCAAATCTGGATCCTAAAGCAAAACCAGCTGAGAACCGCTGATGTTCAGATCTGACCAAAACTGCTTTACAATTCAAAACCTTTCAGACTTACAGCAATAATGATCAAGATACCACACACACATTGAGATTATAAATATACACGTCTGAAACATCTGACAT